AAACATACTTGTCAAAAAAAATCTTAGTTTTTTTTTATTGATTCTTTCTGATATGTCAAGACTTGGGCCCAGAACCATGGGATATATAAATAAGAATGGAACAGCAGCTCCTTTCTCAAGCGGATTACAATTAAGTAAACTGTAAAATGCTAAGTGTCAAATTGGTGACTATAACAATAATAAACATATAGAAATTTAGTTTAGCTACAAATTATGGGAATTTTGGAAAGCCACAAAGGCTCAATGAAAGAAAAGTAATTTGAGCCACATTTTGATTTTCCTGTAATCAGAAGCTTGTGTTTCTGCCTATTGTACTTCAAAGTGGGCACTGTGCTTTGCTTAAAGATAAAGGTAAAAAATAAAAATACAAAAAATGAAGAAAAGAAATCCAAACTCAGTATACTATAATTTAAAGCTCTCCATTATTCATCTATAATCCAACTTTTGGACTATGTTCCTATGTTCTTATGCATCAACCATAAATTATTAACTTGCAGTTCATGAAACACCTTATTCTCTAAACTGTGAATACACCTATCTTTTGTAATTTCTTCCATTTGAAGTCCTGCTTTAACTCTAGCCCGAGGAGACCCCTTTCCTTGACACCCCACCTTGCCTTCCTCTTTGGAATCAGTTTCTCCTTTCCCGTGTTCCTGTCAGACTCTTCCCATTCATCTATTCAGTTACCTGCCACATTCTGGTTTATTCCAGATACTGGTATGCAGATATCCTTCTACCACATGAGGATATAGCCGCTTCGAACTCATGGACTATGTTGTGTTTTCCTTTGTCTTTCTAAAAACCGTAACACAGTTGAATGAATGATTTTGAGAGTGAGCAAGTTAATCCATATTTAATGAGTGCATTTGTGTTGAGTGAATAAATGAATGAATGTAGAGTAGATAGATCACATGTAGATCCCTCTTTCTGGAAATTGTAACTTTAATAAGCCTCAAGAATAAAGTTGAATCCTACCACAACTAGAAATATTAGCACCTCCTGTGAGTTTTACTGAATATGCTTATGAGGAGGCCTCCCACTTGCAAAATGATCTCTTTTCTGTTAATCCCTTGGCTTTGCTGTTTCCAGTTTCTTTTTTGTCTTGAACAGCTGTGCTCTCTTCTCATTTACAATCGTCTTACATTTCATGGTGAAAACACGCACGCCAAACATTAATTTACCCGGAGCTTATCAACAAGTTGCTAACTGTTTCTTCTCTCCATGATTTATCTTTTCATTAGGGTATAAATAGTAAATAATACACTTTGAAAGGTTAATTTCATGAATAGTGGCAGTAGACAGTCACCCACTTGGTGCAATTAATTCCCTCATTTAACAAAAATGTCTTTGTCGTCCAGCACATGCCAGGCACTGTACTAAATTCTGGAGAGATAAAAATGAATCTGGCAGGGTCACTGCTTTTGAGTAAAGTGGACTAGAATGTAAATAAATCATTGTAATAAATATCATAAATGCTCTAATAAAGGGAATAGTGGCTTCTCACAGAAAATCCTCAGGAGCTCTGCCTGTCATGAGTGGAGAGGTAAGAAAAGAACTCTGGATGTGCTAAACTTCCCCCTACAGTGAAGTAGGATGTCGCTCACAGAGACTGGGTGCCTTAGCAGTTCCTAAAGGAGCTTAGAAAAATATCCGTATAAATAAAGTTAATACATTCCTTTTGAAGGAATTGCTTGTTAAATTAGTTTCCCCTTACGTCCTCTAAGAAGGACTAGAAAGGAGAGCAGCAAGTGACAGAGATGAGGTGGAGTGTACTTGGACCTTGCTGGGAGAGTTGAGTGGCTTTGAATGAACATGGAACACCTGGGTCTTCATTTGATGGAGATGAGCACTCAAAGGGAACCACGTGACATTCAAAAAGGATGGCAAGTGCCAGGGTAGTTTAGAGGAAGTGAATGCAAACGTCAATTATTGAATAGTTTTCTTGAGAGCAAAGCCATCTGCCACGCAATGATTTTGGTTACTTAAAGATTCCATTTCAAACATCATTTATTCACTCGCAAGATACCTTTCTCTCTCTCCCTCTCCCCCTCTCTGTCTGACATGCACACACACACACACACACACACACATCTCTCAGACTCTTGGGTACACTGGTCAAGGCACAAGGCCTGCTAATTTGCAAAGTTCACTTGCTAAAACTGAAAATCAATAGCATTAGAATGCTCAAAAATCAAACCATTATCAATCAGGAGGTTTTGTGTCCCTTAGTAACTCAGGGGAAGGGGCTAGTGTGGAGTGCCTTAGAATTTCAAAGAAGAGGTAGATAAGGAGGGCTTTATAGCTAGGAAAGTCTGCCTGCACCTCTTGTTTTTCATCTTCTATGTAAATAGGGAAAAATTCCACTGACTCTCATTTGAGGAACATGGACAGACAAATTAACCATTGAGAATAAAGCCAATTCACTCGTTAAATTTCCCTCTCACAGTGCCCACTGATATTTGGCAAGCCGTTCATTTATTTTCTGTTAAAGGACATTTCCATGTACTCCTTTCTTTGAACCGATATTAAAATAAGAGTGCCAGATAAAGAAGAGCACCAAGGACACAGCTGGCATGACAATTCCTGCTCTTTACCACCAAATCAGAATGGCTGACATGGAAAACAGAGTAACAGATGGCAGGACAGATAGCTAGAGGGGTAAGTGATTTGTTTAAGGTCATAAGAATTTTGCACCAGAAGTAGAAACAAAAACCAGAAAGACCTTGAAGCTAAATGCTATTGTTTACATATCTCTTTTCGTTGAGGAATAAAGTTTCAATGAATCAATTAGAGGATAATTACAATACAGCTATAGTTCCTTATCAGATCCAGTTATGGAAATGACAGTGTTTTGGAGGACAGGCAAGTAGCTCACTTTGCCTGACTCTATTCTATCGAGTGTAGGACATGAGACTGGAATAAATATTTTGTATCCCTATGTGCCATTCTAAGCTATTGGATTGCATTATGTAGGTGTTTGATTTATGAATATGTGTACAATAAGGTCAGTCAGGTGGACATTTTAGGTGGCTTTCCCAACATCATGGTCCAGGATGAATTGAGCCATGTGAAAGGGGAAAGAGCAGGGCAGGTGTACTCAGGGAGGGTAAGTTATGGAACTGTTGCCATCATATAAGAAGACACTGAACTAAAGCTAGGATTGGAAGATGGCAATGCTCCCTACAAAGATAGAGAACAGTGCTGACCTTGATAAGAGTGATGTCTTTTTGGACATACTGAGGTTAAGATACAAGCAGGGTATCCAGTTGGGAGTATCCAGGAGACGGATTCATGTTTGAAGCTCAGAGGGAAAATTGGATCTAGTGGTACAAACTTGGCAGTTAGCCACAGAAAGGTGAGAAGCAGAGCCATGACAATGGGTAAAGTTGCAATGAACTGGTAAAAAAGATGAAAAGAGAATCAAGAATAGAATCATTGGACAAGGTATTATTTAAAACCTGAAAGATTACCCATAAAAACACAAATTGAACTCTATGAAAATTTAAAACTCCTGTTCTTTGAAAAATACTGTTAAGAAAAGCCACAAACTAAGGGAGAATATTTACAGAACACATATCTGATAAAAGACTTACACCCAGAATATGTAAAGAGCTATCAAAACTCAATAATAAGAAAACAAAACACTTGATACAAAAATAGACAAAAGTTTTGAACATATATTTCAGCAAAGACGATATACAGTTGGCCAATAAACACTTGATGAGATGATTTTCTTTTTCAATGAGTGCTTATAAACGGTGGGTTGGGAGCATCATTAATTAAAAATAATAATAAAGTAATCATAATGCCATACACTGATATAGTGCTTATAATTTGCCAGGCCTTGTACTAAGCACTGTATAAACATTAAATTCCTTACTGAGTTAATAAAGTAGAGGTTTAACAAGCCATTTCATTGATGAAGAAACTGAGGCACAGAGAGGTAAAGTAATTTACCCAAGGTCACACAGCTAGTAAGAGGCTGAGCCCACTGAACTCAAGCAATCAGACTCCAGACTACGACTTTATACCACCTCTCCAATTACCAGCAAGAATATATTGAGTACCTACTCTGTGCCCAAAACTTCATCATAGACTATAGAGTCATAAGGAACTGATTAAATCTAGTTCCTTTCCTAGAGGAGCTTAAAATCTCGATTGAAAGACAAGCCTATGTCCACCAAACACTTGACTGCATCTAATCATAATCCAATTTCACAATCCGAAAATAGACAATAAACACACAGCATGTCCTCATCACCCTGTTTGAAGGACAGGGTCTAACAATGATAAGTAGGGATTATTGAAAGCATCCTAAGACCTCTATCATTTAGAAACTTTCCACAGAAAAGCAAAGACCCCAAAGCTTTTAAAGAATTTAAATAAGAGGTAGGAGTTTGGACATTTGAAAAATAATCTTCTGTGATCTTTTATGCTACCATAATTGTCCGCAAAAATATTTAGCATGTATGTCTTTCATGTTGGACAGGATCCTTGTGTTTTAGGTTGTTCCTAATAACCCAGAGTAAACAAGGATGAGCCATGTCCAAACACGACAATGACCTAATTCAAATACCTCCTTATGTTAGAACTGCAACTGTCAAATGAGCTGACACAATGCCTGCTAGCCAGCTTTTATTTCAATAACACTAAAGACCCATCCTTAAGAGCCCTGAGTTACTGTTTTGTTTTTTCTTCTAAATTGGTAACATCCGTTTTCCCGGAATGAGAACTGTGCAAGAAGATGGTGATAAAAAGCAAGCAGATAAGCAACAGACATCTTTCTTAATTAATTGACTCTGATTAAAAGAAAATAGTGTCTTTGAAGCTGTAGCTACAGAAGTCAGCCTGTGAGACATAGCATCTTCTACTAAGTCTCAGATTCAGTTCATTCTAGCAGCTCAGCCTGGAAGGTGGCCAAATATGTGTGCCTCTAACAGCTGTGACTGTGCAGGGGGCAGGACAGAGAAAGGAGAGAGACAGAGAGTGAGGAAGGGAAATGGAGAAACAGAGGAGGGAAGGGGGAAGAAAAACAGAGAGAGAGACAGACAGAGAGACAGAGAGAGAGCGCGAGAGAAATCGTGGGAGACGTGAAAGAGTGAAGGATCGGAAGGAGGGGGGGATGTAAAAGCCAGATTTTTATTGGAAGCAATTGAAGTGGTTGCTATGAGACCCGCTGGAGCAGAGGACCAGCAGCCAGCTCGACGCTGATGGTTCTTACCTCGTACTAAACCTTTCTTTTGACACAGTTTTAGAGTTGCTTAATATCTGAGCAAGCACCTGACACGGGCGACTTTTTCCTTCTTTTTTCTCCTCCGGTCCCTCGGGTAAGATGGAGGTAGAAAACGAAGCCAGCTGCTCCCCCAGCAGCGCATCAGGCGGGTCCAGAGAGTACAAGGTGGTAATGCTGGGAGCAGGGGGAGTTGGTAAAAGCGGTAAGTTTTAATATCAAATGCTGGGGAAGGAGGGACCTCTGTAGAGGCAACTCTATACAGTGAATAATAATAATAATAATAATAATAATTATGCTGATGCTTTCAGGGGTTAGCTGGCTGTAGCAGTTAAACACCAAGTATCTGGCAGGATGTTTAAAAGTATAAGGACTGTTAAAGGGCTGCTGATGAATCAGGAGAATGGAGAGATGGCCAATGATGATATAAAGAACTTGAAGAGGATGATTTTTTTCCTTTGATTTCCTGCCGTTTGATGTTTGATCTTAATTTATGTATCTTTTTAAAAAATAATAAGATGATATTTATGAAATAGCCATGGTATGAGAAAAAAATGTGCTCCTGTTCTCAAAGACAGAAGTGCTATGAATATTCAATGAAACACATATACAAACACAGACACACATGCAGGATTATCAGTGCTGATTGTTGTGTTTGTTCCTTTGATTAGGGACTTCCTGTCTCCTTTTCCTTGTCTGTGATCTGACATAGCATGCGTGGGCTTGAAATGCCAAGAGGAAAGTTGGGTTTTGAAAGTGACAGGGATTTAAGGAATGGTGTGCATTGTGGGACCTGTGCAGGATGTTCAAACCAAATTTTGTGGTTAACTGAATTCAAAGAGAAAGACACAAGAATAAAGGAATCTGGGATGCTAACGAAGGAAAAGACTGGCTAATTTGTCTTGATATATAAAAAAACAGAAGTTGTCAGTTGTTGGGTTTCTCCAGGGGCTGAAAAGGACAAATATAACATTAAAGAAATAGGTATGAGGTAGTGTTTGAGGCTGAATAAATGTTGGATACCTTGGGATTATGGATATCGCCAGAAAATAAACAGGTAAATATAACTTTTTATATAAATAAAAGAAGACCCCCATGAAGGATACATCTTTGGGGATGCCAAGAGACAGAAGAAATGGTAGAGTTAGCGTGGATGAAAAGTAGCAAAAATACTCAATATTTTTATTGCTTGACAAAAAGATTCAACGTTGAGGCCAACATTCTTGATACAAGAATCCCCCCCCCCAAAAAAAAGCTGATAACATTAGTAGTGGGTCCACAAGTGATAAGGAAGTTGATCAGTAAAGAAAGAAGAAAAAAGAGTGCGACTTTAGAAAACAGCAAAGGTGAAGAGGTTAGAAAATAGCAAAAGACATGAAATTGAACATCCCCAACACCGCCCCCCTCAAAAACAAACCCACAAGGGATTACTATACAAAGAAAAGAAATAGGTGGACCTGGATGTGGTCAATCACTAAATGCTTGTCAAAGTGAGAAAAATTAGTCATCTCTTCTAGAAAGGAAACGTGAAGAGAAAAACTTCACAACTGTGTATGAATGAGGATTTTTCTAACAGCTTTCCTTTTTTTTTTTTAATGTAATGGTTGAAGGGGAAAGAATCAAAATAGATGAGGATTAGAGAGGCAGGGATGGAGGAAGGAAAAAGAGAAAACAATCCATATAAAATAAGACTAAGTTTTGAAAGAATATAGTCATTCAGACACAATGAGGAAGAACAATGTGAGAATAAAATAGAAGAAAGTGAAACAAATCTAAGAAAAAGGCAGAGACTAATTCATTCACAGAAATGCCACCAGCAGCTTGTGAAGTCGGAGAGATCCTGCAACAGTCCCATAATGTGCCCATGTATTACCTTTGTTCACTGGCTTGGTATTTTCTTGTTTCACTAAGAGCTTGGGGGATGTGGGAATAGAGTGACTAGTTTGTAACCATTTAATCCATCGAAATGGAACATGGAGAGAAGACGTGTTGGATAGGAGCATCTTTTTGTAATATACTTATCCCAGAGGTGATATTATGTCTATGATTTTGATTTCCTCCGTGTATTATTAGTACTGACTCATCATTGTCACCATTCTAAAGGCTAGAAATTTTCAACATCACATTATGGTCAGCAGAATGGTGTGGGGTTGGTCTCACCCGCATGTTATGCAAAAGAAGCCAGTTCATAAGTAAATTCTTGAGCAAAACTTTTCCAATGCGATAAAGACACGAGTAACCAGCTCACCTCAGAGATGGTTAAGAATAAAAAAGGGTAAATAGTTCAGTTGTACTGATTTTATAAACAGCTTACTTGGCTGTTACTTCAGAGAGAATATAGTTCATAGTATTATTCCAGGCCTGGAAAATGCCTTCCTTATGGCTAAGTCTTTGGAATCAGAGCCATAGAATCACTTCTTACACGTGGACTTTGCCCCTGTGATTCATTTGGTGTTATCAGTATGTAAATATTCAAGCACTGATTCTCCATATTAACCTTCTTTTGAAGGTTGAAATGTTTGCTTTCAAATGAACTAAAATGTTTTCTAAAAATTAAAAAGCCACTTTTTGTATTGTCGAAGATCTGGATCAATAGAGGTGCAATTTACTTTTCTACCCACAATTTCAGTGCTTATGAGAAAAGATTGTATAAGCCAATTATAGTGGGTTGTATGAAGGGATTTCAAGAAGTCTGCTGTTCTGAAGACACTAAAGAAGATGGATCAAGCTATCATCTGTTTCCTATTCTGGGTCCGTTCTGAGTCAGCCTTGGACATGAATGAGAAACTCAATTTACTGGGACCATAATTTTTAAATGAACAAAATCTTGGAGATTTTATGCTTACTGAGAAATTAGGGTTTTTTTTTTCTCTCCATATTTTACTAAGACACACTTTTATGAATAGGAGATTTTGAAAGGATTTGCAAAGGATAAACTAATTTACTGGAGCAGAAATTCCCGTAAGATTTAAAAAATGAGGTGAATAAATGTACTGTGTGTGAGAAACTTCAAACCACAAGTAATCAATCAAGTTATTGGGCATACACTATGCACGGGCCCTGTAGTAGTTGCTATAGAGGGAAACAAGAAGGAAGTGAACATTTATGAAGCACCCACTGTGTGGAAGATATAGGTTACATGGTTTTCATGGTTATTTTCATCCTCACTAAAACCTGATTAGGTGTCACCATTTGACAGATGGGAAAATTGAGGCCCTAGGGAAACAATTTGTGGCTGGTCAAGGAGTTAATAATTTATAGAGTTCTGTGGAGTTTTATCTAACTCCATTACATTATGTTTAACACCCTGGGGAAGAAGAACAGAGTTCCACCACTTACTATTAAGAAGAAAACAGGGCTGTTGGTAATGCATTCACTACTTCCTGAATGTTATATTTCGAAGAGATCTAAACCATCTAGACTAACACCCTCATTTATACATCTATTCCTTTTTAATCTTTAAATCAATATAATTAAACATTATACATAATACTTATGTTCTGTATAAGTAAAACCATATGTTTATGTTGTATTTATATAATTAAACACTACACCTAATATTAACCAAGAATGCTATAAGTGCTGAGAAAACAGGATAAATAAGAAATAGTCCCCACTCTATTTGAAAGATGTGGAAACTGAGGCCCCGAGAGTTGAAGGGGCTTGCCAAATCCATGCATACAGTAGGGGCAGAGTCACAGCTAGAATGCAGCCCTCCTGACCCCTTTTGAGCCGTTTTTCCACCACACCCAAATTTGTACACAGGGTAAGCTAAGTAAAAATTGGACTCATTATTCAATTAATTTCATGTAACTTGGGCACATTCTTAGCCTTCTATCTCTCTGTGTTCCACTGCCTACCATCCCTTCCCCTCTCTCAAAAAAAGAGAAAAAATCAAAATCTCAAAGCTAAGGAGTCTAAACAATCCTAACTATTTTAAATATTGACCTTTGCATATCTTTGTAGTTTGATATAAAAGGGCTGTTTCTCAAGGACAGAGCATGATTCGTGTCTGCCTGCTTTCCCTGTTTTCACATCTGGTTCTTCCAGGGCAGACTCAAATTATTCAGCAGATCTTATCCAATAATAATAATATCTTACTTTCCAAAATACATTTTACCTATTCGGTTTTGTGACCTTATTTGAGGATAAACTAATTTAGGGAGACGAGTGGGTCATCTATTCCCTCTGTTCGGATGAGGCATCTAAAGCACAGAAATGTTAAGAGATTTATCCAAGAGTACTCAGAAGTAAGTAAGAATTTGGAAAGAAACTCAAGCTTTCGAACTCTAGGTTGTTTTTCCATCATATTTCATGAGAAAAGTAGAGAAAGTATCTAAATATCTGATGAGATCTCCATGTTCTTCTCCAGTCCCTAGGACACATCTTGGAATTATCTTGGTGACATGTCGTTGTGTGAAATATGTATGAAATATTATGCAAGTCATTGGGAAGGGAGAGGCTGTTTTTCCTAACTCCCATTCCAGACGTGACCTTTGCCCTCTAGGAGCTCACCATCTCATGGGGGAAATATAACGAGTACTACAGACTGATAACTTTATAGCAGCCTCTGTCATAAGAGCTGTGGAAGCTCAGCGTAAGGGGTGGCTGAAATCACATGTGAAAGTTAAGAAGGCATCACAGGAGAGATGATATTTGAATTGTGTGTTAAAGGATGAGGAGGATTTCTTGCGGTTGAGAAGGGAAAGTATAGGGGGAGCCGGGGTTGGAGAGGAGGAGAGTTTAGAGGGAACAGGGCACGCAAAGACAAAAGGGAATGTGAGGCTTATCATTTTTCATGAAGGGATCTTGATAACTCTGTCTTTGGGGCAGGGGCAGTTGGAAAAATCTCTCCTGAGATTTGCTTAAAACCTATCGTAGGAAACTGTGAAAACTAAAACAAAAGAAAACAAATAAGCTGAAAACATAAAAAGTGTTAGGGAACTCAGAATTTATTAGAATGCATCCATTTCACAATGGATTTCCCTTTTTGTAAAGGGAAAGCTCGTCTGTAAAATAAGCAGTCTTACTCTGCCCCACCCCCTTCTCTTCTCTGCAATTTGTCTCTTTTATACACTGAGTTTTGTGTAGCAGGATTTTATAAAATAAAGCAACAACAGTATTTTCTGAGGTAAACAGAAAGCAGTGCAAAACCAATTCCTTCAACATCAGTGATCTGGTATAAGCAGGTAGAGAATCGAGCCT